AAAAAATTAATTTCTCAGAAATTCTTCGAGTACGGAAGTCGAAAAACACCGAAATTTGCCCAGAATTTATCTGCGAATTGGCGCTGCTTATTTGCGTCTGGCACCTGACAGGGAAGTCTAGCGCCAGGAGCTAGTGCCGTCGGCTGGCGCTGATTGTTGTTGGAAGGCGCCAAAGCTTCCTCTGCGGCGCCAACATTTCGCCGATTTTCTGTCGAACTTTTCATTAATTCTGGGGCGCGAGAATGTTGAAAAATAAGGTGGTCGCACCCGTAAAGGGTTGCCTACGTATCCTTTCTTAAGGAATCAGGCCAAACGTAGCTCTCTTGAGTATTCTACTCAAGTAATTATGGGTAGTATTTCTTAAGTTGGTAAAGATTTGTCATGTTCGAGAACTCATTGCCATCCATATCAGATAGTTTTGCTGCACCCCCTGACAGGATTGTTTTGACAATGTAGGGTCCAGACCAATTAGGTCTAAATTTTCCTCTTGGATCTAAAGCATTTTTCCTTAATGTTTTTAACACCAAGTCTCCTACTTTGATGTTTCTTGTCTTGACCTTCTAATTAAAATGCCTAGCCATGCGAGTTTGATAACACTGAGTGTGATGCAGAGCTTCTAGTCGTTTCTCATCGAGTAGAATTAATTCTTCATATCTTGCCCTAGTCCATTCAACTTCATCGATTTTACTCTCTAACGCAATGCATAGAGATGGTATTTCTAGTTCGACAGGTTGTACGACATCCATTCCATATACCAAGGAAAATGGCGTATTTCTTGTTGATTTTCGAATTGACGTGCGGTACCCCCATAATGCGAAGTGAAGTTTGTCAGGCCAATCCTTATAATTTCCATCATTTTCTCGATGATAGTCTTTAGGTTTTTATTAGCTGCCTCGACTGCTCCATTTGCTTGAGGTCTGTAAGGGGAAGAATGATGATGTTGAATGCCGTATTTTTTAGCACTTCTTCACATTTGGCTTGAAAGTGAGTTCCATTGTCACTTATCATTTCATGTGGGACTCCGTATCGACAAATAATATTTCTTTCGATAAAGAGTGCTACATGTTTTGCAGTAAGTTTAGCGTATGATTTCGCTTCCACCCACTTTGTGAAGTAATCAATCGCTACTAAGATATATTCGTGGCCTCCTATTCCTGGGGGAGTGATTTTGCCGATGATGTAGATTCCCCACGTAGAGAATGGCCATGGTGATGTGTAGGTGTAGAGAAAGGATGGAGGAACATGTTGTAAATTGGCATAAATTTGGCACTTAGGGCATCTTTTTACATATTGATGGCAATCCCTATTTATTGTAGTCCAATAATATCCTTCTCGCATTATTTTTTGGACTAACATTTTGCCATTTATATAAGTGCCGCAGGTTCCTTCGTGGAATATCCTCATTTCTCTTTGTGCATCCTTCTTTCCTACACATAGGAGAGCTCGACCCTTAGGTACCCTTTTATGTAGCTCGTTGTTTATGAGTACATATTGGGAAGCCAAAAGCGGTATCGCTTGTTTTGCTCTTTTGTCAGCATGGGGAGGGTATTCTCCATTGGTGACATGATGAGTGTCATTTATGGCACTCATAGGGTAGTCTTTTAGGGTTATTTCTTTCCCTTTTTCATGCTTTCTTCTCTTATTTTTGGTCCTTTTTTCTTTAGTTTCTCTTTCTCCTCTTTTCTTTATGGTTCTCGTGTTTTTCTCGTGTTTTTGTAGTCCCTATTTATTGTAGTCCAATAATATCCTTTTAATTCCTTTCTTTGTTTGCTTGTGTAGATACTTGGAGAATCACCTTTGCAAAGGAATCAAGTTGGGACCTTAATGACCAAGCAAGGAAGAAGCATTTGGCGAGAGAGAGCTTAGAGAGGCCTTGGAGAGGCCTAGGAGAGGTCTCCAAAGAATTGCGAGCAGGCCGCGGGCGCGGGTCAGTGAAGTCGCGGGCGCGGGCTCAAGAAGCACAAATGGCAGATTTTGGCAGGAACTTCCCGCGGTTTCCTGGAGGGCTCTCCGCGGGCGCGGGAAACTTGGAGAGGGTGCTCTGTCTTAGAGAAACCGCGGCCCCTGATTGAGTTTTGGAAGCAGGGGATTAGCCACGGGCGCGGCATATGTTGCCGCTGGCGCGGGTTTTTACTGCCACGGGCGCGGGTGTTGCCCTGATAGCCCGCGGAGGGTTCCGTACCCATTTCTCCACGGCCGCGGGTTCATCAGGAGAGGGCGCGGGTTTTGCCGGTTTCTTCTTTGCTTATAAATAGAATTGTAATTCCTTTTTGAAACCAACTTTTTGATAATATTTCGTTAGCTTAGTTTTAGAGAGAGAATTTAGAGAGAAGTTAGAGAGAAGTTCTTTGTTTTGGATTTGTAACTCAACATTTGATCAATCAATTTTGGATTTCTTCATTTTCAATCATCAATATTAGTGAGAATCTCTTCCTTCTTTCATCTCTTACTTACTTGCTATATGATTTATGTTTGTTGCTTGTTTTTCTTTGGATTTGAGTTTGATATTGTTGAATATTTTAATTTCTCTTAGATTTTGATATAGTATGATGATCAATGCAATTTCTAGTTATTTGTTCTTGAATTTCACCATGATTAGTGAGTAGAGTAGTTGCTAGGGAAAGGGGGAAGCATGTTTGATTAATGAAATTGCTAGTTGATTCTCTTTGATTGATTGAATTGTTGCAATTAAATTGGTTGACATAGTTTTGCATGTGATTGATTAGACTAGGAGTGATCAACCTATAAGATTAATCTAGATTGCATTGCAACTCTTAATGACATGAACAATTGATTTAAAAGTTGCTCTAATTGATTGGGTTTGCTTGTGATTCTTCTTGATTTGCCTTTCATAGTGACTCCTAGATTGGCCTATAGGAGATAGCATTTGAACTCTCTTGATTGCTACTATTGTTTGTCCATTGCAATACTTGAATTAATTGATTGAGCTCTAAACTAGCATTATCATTGAACTTGCAAGTGGAACCCATATCCCTAGTGTTTAGACCTTTGATTTACTTGATTAGACTTGTTTTAGTTTACCATAGTGCCAACCATAATCTCAACTCCATCTTCGAGGTAGCTTGACTTAGACTCTAGTTTTCATCATTGCATTCCCTAGGGATCGACCCTTTACTTGCCCTATATACATATAAGGTTGGTTAGGTGTTTACAAATTTAGTTTGACTTGGGGGAAGGGTAGATAACGACATACATTTTCCTCTCGTCAAAATGGCGCCGTTGCCGGGGAATGCTATTGGTGCTTAGCTTTTGTTGTTGAGTCTACTTTATTTTAATTGAAAAATACAAAAAGATTGTGTTTCTTTAGGCTACACTTGTAGTCGTGCTACTAATATTTTCTTTGAGTTTTGCATGCATAGAGCTCGTGATCGATCCATTGTGCCTTTTGACCCAAAAATCGAAAGGACTCTCTCAAGGAGAAGAATAGCTAATCGATCCTTGGGGTATAGTTCTTCAAGTGAAAAAGGGATTGAAGAAGAGCAAGGCATGGGAGAAAATCCGAGAGTGGCCTTGAAGGAGCTAGGAATACCCGGTGCATATAGGTTTGAGAGCGGTATAGCTCCGCCTACAACACCGGAAAATGATTTTGAAATTCGGCCGGCCATGATCACCTTAATTGAGAGGAGGCAATATAGTGGAGCTAAGAATGAGAGCCCGTTGAACCATCTTACAGAATTCGAGAAATATTGCAACACCATCAAACTCAACGGAGTTTCTCAAGAGTTCATCTGCCTCAAGTTGTTCCCCTTCTCTCTCATAGGAAGATCCTTAGAGTGGCTAGATAAAGAGGTGAAGCCTAACTCCTTGAGAACATGGGATGATGTTACAAAGGCCTTCTTGTCCCGCTTCTACCCTCAAATGAAGACAACAGAGGCAAGAGCCTTGATTCAAGGGTTCAAGCAAAGGCCAAATGAAAGCCTTTACAAAGCATGGGAGAGATACAAAGAGTATCAAAGGGAGTGCCCTCATCACGGAATCCCAACATACCAAGTGGTCCAAATCTTCTATGGCGGTTTAAGTCCCCAAGGCAGGTCATGCCTTGATGGGGGGTCGGGGGTCCTATCATGAACAAGACCGAAGAAGAAGTGGTGGACATTATTGAGGACGTGGTGACGTACTATAGAGATTGGCAAGATGGGGAGAGGGACTCTTCAAGTAAGCAATGTTCATTGTACTCGGTGGACCATCTAAATGCGATAAACAACCTTTCCTCCCAAATGACAAACTTTGGAAAGGAGGTGACCGCAATCAAAGCCAAGTTGGAGAGCGCTTCTTCTTCTTCTCAAGCTTCGAAGCTTCAAACCCCCTCCCTCTTCACATAATATGCCTATGGGTTGTTTGTTTTGTGATGCACGTGGATCGTATGATCATGACTCTAGTAATTGTCCTAATGAATGTGTTGATAAGTTTGATAACAATGATAGTGAGCATGTGAATTATTTGTCAAATAATAATTTCCAAAGGTTTGATAATAAAAAAGGTTAATGGAATAGGAATTACCAAAACCAAGGCAATTTTGACAACTATAACCAAGGTGGTGGTTACAGAATCCAAGGGAACCAAGGTTCTCGTGGTAGCTATAATAACCAAGGTTATAGTGGCCAAAATTAAAGCCAAAATTATGGAAATCAAAACCAAGATTATGGAAATCATAACCAAGGTAGTGGTAATCATAATCAAGGTGGTGGTAACCATAATCAAGGTTATGGTCAAAATCAAAATAGGGGTACTTGGAACAATCAAGGGAGGGGCAATTTTCAAAATAATGCTCAAAGAGGTCCTCCACCCGAATTTGTTCCAAGGACTCAAGGTGAAAATTCCTATTCACAACCTTCTTCACCTAGGACCAATTTGGGAGAAATAATTGAGAATCAAACCAAGTTGTTGAACACATACATGGCCGTTAGTGATAAAAAGTTCAATGAAATGACGACCCACAATAAAATGCTTGAAAACCAAATTTCTCAACTTGCTAATGAATGAAAGATCATTCAAGCCCTTCTTCATTGCCTTCCCAAGGTCTTGATCCCAAGAAACACGTGAATGTTATTGTTACAAGGAGTGGTAAGGTTCTTGAGGAGAGATTGCCTAGGAAGAGTGAAGATAAGGAGATTCCTAAGGAAGCCTTGGTTGAGAATGAGGGGGATAGGGCATCATTAGATGAGGTTGTGGTTGAGAAACCTAGAGAGGTGAGAGTAGAGAAAAAAATTTTGAAACCCAAGCTCCCTTACCCACAAAAATTCATGAGACACAAATTGGATGAACAATTTGGGAGATTCATTGATATGCTAAAACAACTTCATCTTTCTCTACCTTTTACCAAAGTTATCAACCAAATGCCAAATTATGCCAAATTCCTCAAGGAAATTTTGAGTGGGAAAAGAACTTGTGAGGTTGTGGAGACTACCAATTTGACCGAAAGTTGTAGTGCTATCATCATGAACAAAATGCCACCCAAATTGAAAGACCCCGGAAACTTCTCCATCCCTTGTGCCATTAACAAGATGCAAATTGATAATGCCTTATGTGACTTGGGAGCTAGTGTGAGCATAATGCCATATTCGGTTTATCAAAGACTTGAACTAAGGGAACTCTTACCTTCTAACATTACCTTGCAATTAGCCGATAGGTCAATCAAGTTTCCAAAAGGTAAGGTAGAAGATGTTCCATTGAGGGTTGGGAAGTTTGTATTCCCGGTGGATTTTATTGTGCTTGAAATGGATGAAGATGCTACCATTCCAATCATTTTAGGTAGACCCTTTCTTGCTACCTTGGATGCTATGATTGATGTGAGGAGTGCGAAGATTTCCCTTAAGGTAGGAGATCAGGTCATTGAATTTGATTTGAATGAAAGCATGAAGTATCCATGTTCTTCTCTAGAAAATTGCATAATGATTGATTCACTTGATCATGTTGTGTCTTCCATGCATGAGCACTTGCTCACCTCTAACGATGCTCTTGAGAATGTTTTTTGAACAAGGATAAAGTAGGTACACCATGCAAGGAAATGGCATTCTGTGAGGAATTGCTTAATGGAAGCATGGAGGAAGTGTATGAGCAAATGTGCTTTAAAATCTCAAGCCAAGAAGCTTTGCAAGCGGCCACATCAAAGGAAGGTAATGGTGTGCCTATGGTAGAGCTCAAACCTCTACCATCACACTTTAGGTATGAGTTCTTGGGCCCTCATTCCACTTACCCCGTGAAAGTTAGTGCATCCTTGAGTGTGAGCCAAGCTCAAGCGTTATGTGGTGTTTTGAGAAAGCACCAAGGTGCTTTGGGGTAGACAATTGATGATCTTAAAGGTATAAGCCCCGCCTTGTGCCAACACCACATAACACTTGAGGAAGGTGCCCTTCCTTCTATCGAACGACATAGAAAACTACATCCCCAAATGGGAGAGGTAGTTAAGAAGGAGATCACCAAGCTATTGGATGCGGAAATCATATTCCCCATCTCTAGCTCAAGGTGGGTCTCCCCCGTGCATGTCTTTCCAAAGAAGGGGGGTATGATCGTGGTTGAGAATGAGAAGGGTGAGCTCATTCCAACTAGGACGGTCACGGGTTGGCGGATGTGTATAAACTATAGACGTCTAAACACGTCCACCAAGAAGGATCACTTCCCTCTTCCATTTATTGATAAAATGCTTGAAAGACTAACAAGGCACAAGTTTTATTGTTTCCTCGATGGATATTCGGGATTCTTCCAAATCCCCATCCACCCCAATGATCAAGAGAAAACTACCTTCACATGTCCTTATGGGACCTTTGCCTATCGAAGAATGCCCTTTGGGTTATGCAATGCACCCGCTACATTCCAAAGGTGCATGATGAGTATTTTCGGGGATATGTTGGAGGAGGAAATGGAGGTCTTCATGGATGACTTTTCGGTGGGGGGTGTTTCATTTGAAGAGTGCCTTGTGAACCTTGAGAAGTGTTTGGAAAGATGTGTGAAGGTCAATCTTGTTTTGAATTGGTAGAAATGTCATTTCATGGTGGAGGAAGGTATAGTTCTTGGGCACAAGATTTCAAATAGAGGCATTGAGGTGGATAAAGAAAAAATAGAAGTGATTGAGAAACTTTCACCTCCGGTGAATGTCAAGGGAGTGAGATCGTTCCTTGGTCATGCGGGTTTTTATAGGAGATTCATCAAGGATTTTTCACTTATTGCTAAGCCCCTAAATGACCCTCTTCAAAAGGATGTTGAGTTTATTCTTGATGACAAATGCTTGAAGGCATTTGATAGATTGGAGAAGGCTCTAATCTCCACTCCTATTGTTCAAGCCCCAAGGTGGGATCTTCCTTTTGAATTGATGTGTGATGCAAGTGATTGGGCGATTGGAGGTGTTTTGGGAATACGTGTAGACAAGAAGCTTCATGTGATTTACTATATGTCCAAGACTCTCAATGGGGCTCAAAAGAACTACACAACAACAGAAAAGGAATTTTTAGCAATTGTGCACTCTTTTGAGAAATTCCGTTGTTACTTGTTGGGTTCCAAGACCATAGTCTTCACGGATCACGCGACTTTCAAGTATCTCTTTGCCAAGAAAGAGTCCAAGCCTAGGTTGATTCGATAGGTGCTTGAATTGCAAACTTTTGAGATTGAGATTAGGGACAAGAAGGGTGCGGAAAATGTTGTACCGGACCATCTTTCTCGCCTTGAGGGTGATCAAATTCATGATGATGGTTCACCAATTGAGGATAGAATGCTTGATGACGTCTTATATGCCATAGAGGTGAAGGAACTCCCATGGTATGCCGACTTGGTGAATTTTCTAGTATGTGGGGAGTTTCCACCCTCTTTCTCAAAGAACCAAAGGAAGAAAATTAAAAGGGAAGCAAGACATTACTTGTGGGATGATCCCATCCTATACAAACGAGGGGTTGATGGCTTACTTAGGAGTTGTGTTCCAAATGAAGAGGTGCCTAGTGTTTTAAGGATGTGCCACTCGGACCCTAGTGGTGGGCATATGGGTGTTTCCAAGACCGCTACCAAGGTTCTTCAATGTAGTTTGTGGTGGCCGCATCTCTTCAAATATTCATGGGGTTTTGTGAAGTCATGCGACTGATGTCAAAGGGTTGGGAATATATCCAAGAGGAATGAGATGCCTCAACAGCCCATTCTTGAATTAGAGGTGTTCGATGTTTTGGGGATTAACTTCATGGGACCATTCCCCTCTTCATATGGTAATCAATTCATACTTTTGGCTGTGGACTATGTTTCTAAATGGGTTTAGGCCATTGCCTCCCCTACTAATGACCACAAAGTAGTGTTGAAGTTGTTCAACAAAATCATCTTCCCAAGGTTTGGCGTGCCTAAGGCTGTGATAAGCGATAACGGATCTCATTTTGTTCACAACGCCTTCCAAAAGATGTTGAGGAAACATGGAGTGCATCAACGGTTCGTCCTTCCATATCATCCTCAATCGAGTGGCCAAGTCGAGGTCTCCAATCGTAAAATAAAGCTCATTCTTGAGAAGACGGTTGCAAGGAATAGAAAGGATTGGTCGAACAAGTTAGATGATGCTCTTTGGGCTTATAGGACGGCTTTTAAGACACCTATTGGTACCACTCCATATCGCCTTGTCTATGGCAAATCATGCCATCTCCCGGTAGAGCTTGAACATCGTGCCTTATGGGCCATCAAGAAGATAAATTTTGTCTTAGCTAGTGCAGGGGAGAAGAGGTGGTTGGATCTTCATGAGCTAGAGGAACTTCGACTTGATGCTTATGATAGTGCTAGCACCTACAAAGCTCGCTCCAAGGAGGTTCATGACAAGTTGATTGAGAAAAAGGAGTTTTGTGTAGGTGACAAAGTCCTCCTCTACAATTCAAGGATGAATTTGTTCCCCGAAAAGCTCATGTCAAGATGGAGTGGACCATTCTTGGTGAAAGATGTTTTTGATAATGGTGCCGTGGAGATTTCTCCTTTGAACTCCTCATCTTCATTTAAGGTTAATGGTCATCGGCTCAAGAAGTACTATGATGGAGTGTTTGGACATGTTCACAAAATGATTCTTTTTAAGCCACCTTGAGATGATGGTGCACGTCGAGCTAACGACGTTAACCAAAAGCGCTTACGGGAGGCAACCCGGATTCTCATCTCATTTCTCTTTCCTTTCTTTTCTCTTATTTTTCCTTGATTGGTTTTTGATCTTATTAATGTTTGGTGATTGTGGTCTATGAAGTTGGAGTTTGGTTCGAATTGGTACACATAATTAAGTTGTTTATATTTGGTAAATAATGGCATATGCTTATGTAAAAGCCGTCCTTAATAAAAGAGGCAAGGATGTTAATAAAGCATATTTGAAAAAGCCGTTCGAATTGAAAAAAAGGCAAGGACTAATGCTTTTAAGGAGTACAAGAAAATACAAACAAATTTATAAATGAGAAAATGCAAAAAAAAAAAAAAAAAAAAAAAAAGAAAAACCATAAAAATTCAAGTGTCTTTCTCCTCTCTACGCATTGAGGACAATGTTTCTTTTAGCTTGGGGGGAAAGCGTTTGCGCTTTTTGTTCTTATGTTTGTAGATTGTTACTTTGAATAAGCTTGGGGGTGTTAATACGTTTTTGTTTGGTGATTACATAAGTTTTGTATTGAGATTTGGCCGGTCTTTGCTTCACAATTTAGGATAACCACAAAATTTTTAAATTTTAGCCTACCTTAACCCTTCTTGCCTTACGTTACAACCTTTGGGAAGACCTTTGGACCAGGTTGAGTCTTTCATCGGTGGAGGGAATCATGGGTTGTAGACTAAGGAAAAGGGTTGCGAAATCAAGATGTCGAGTAGCCCAAAATATTGATCTTTTTCCGGTTCCTTCGCGGAATCTATGAGATGCTCGCTAAGGGGAGATATGAGATTAGTAGGGGGAACGCGGTAAGACCGTTTGGGATGAAAGTGGAGTGTGATAACTAGTTCCTATGTTTAGCATATTTATGTTTCAATTAACTTTAGGTATCTTATAACGTGCATACCATAATTCACTTTAGAAAGGTTGTTATTCATTTGAATTATAGTCTCTTTGTAAAGTCCATTTCGTAAAGATTTTGTTTCCTTTTTCCTCTTTCTTTTCCTTTTATGGTTTTCCTCTTGGGGGTTTTGGTGGAGAGTTATGGGTAAACGCTTAGGATACCCTTACGAGAGCATCACTCGTCCTCTAGGGCGATCTAGGGGTTTAAATGGCTTGTTATAGCTAAAAACAACCGTGATTCCTACGACAGTGAGTTTTAGTGTAAATTCTTGCCCCTCTTTTTCTTTTTGCTTCAAATAATCCCTTATTTTTCCTTTTTAGCCTTTTTTTTGCTCGGGGGAATTTGATGAGTGTCATTTATGGCACTCATAGGGTAGTCTTTTAGGGTTATTTATTTCCCTTTTTCATGCTTCCTTCTCTTATTTTTGGTCCTTTTTCCTTTAGTTTCTCTTTCTCCTCTTTTGTTTATGGTTCTCGTGTTTTTCTCGTGTTTTCCTTTTATTTGGCTCTTTTTCCCTTTTATTTCCTTTTTTGTTTGCTTGTGTAGGTACTTGGAGAATCACCTTTGCAAAGGAATCAAGTTGGGACCTTAATGACCAAGCAAGGAAGAAGCATTTGGCTAGAGAGGGCTTAGAGAGGCCTTGGAGAGGCCTCGGAGAGGTCTCTAAGGTATTGCCAGTAGGCCGCGGGCGCGGGCTCAAGAAGCACAAATGGCAGATTTTGGCAGGAACTTCCCGCGGTGGCCCCGCAGGATCTCCGCGGGCGCGGGAAACTTGGTGAGGGTGCTCCGTCTCAGAGAAACCGCGGCCCCCTGATTGAGTTTTGGGAGCAGGGGATTAGCCGCGGGCGCGGGTTTATACTGCCGCGGGCGCGAGTGTTGCCCAGATAGCCCGCGGAGGGTTTCGTACACATTTCTCCGCGGCCGCGGGTTCATCAGGAGAGGGCGCGGGATTTGCAGGTTTCTTCTTTGCTTATAAATAGAATTGTAATTCCTTTTTGAAACCAACTTTTTGATAATATTTCATTAGCTTAGTTTTAGAGAGAGAATTTAGAGAGAAGTTAGAGAGAAGTTCTTGGTTTTGGATTTGTAACTCAACATTTGATCAATCAAGTTTGGATTTCTTCATTTTCAAACATCAATATTAGTGAGAATCTCTTCCTTCTTTCATCTCTTACTTACTTGCTATATGATTTATGTTTGTTGCTTGTTTTTCTTTGGATTTGAGTTTGATATTGTTGAATTTTTTGATTTCTCTTAGATTTTGATATAGTATGATGATCAATGCAATTTCTAGTTATTTGTTCTTGAATTTCACCATGATTAGTGAGTAGATTAGTTACTAGGGAAAGAGGGAAGCATGTTTGATTAATGAAATTGCTAGTTGATGCTCTTTGATTGATTGAATTGTTGCAATTAAATTGGTTGACATAGTTTTGCATGTGATTTATTAGACTAGGAGTGATCAACCTATAAGATTAATCTAGATTGCATTGTAACTCTTAATTACATGAACAATTGATTTGAAAGTTGCTCGAATTGATTGGGTTTGCTTGTGATTCTTCTTGATTTGCCTTTCATAGTGACTCCTAGATTGGCCTATAGGATATAGCATTTGAACTCTCTTGATTGCTACTATTGTTTGTCCATTGCAATACTTGAATTAATTGATTGAGCTCTAAACTAGCATTATCATTGAACTTGCATGTGGAACCCATATCCCTAGTGTTTAGACCTTTGATTTACTTGATTAGACTTGTTTTATTTTTCCATAGTGCCAACCATAATCTCAACTCCATCTTCGAGGTAGCTTGACTTAGACTCTAGTTTTCATCATTGCATTCCCTAGGGATCGACCCTTAAATTGCCTTATATACATATAAGGTTGGTTAGGTGTTTACAAATTTAGTTTGACTTGGGGGAAGGGTAGATAACGACATACATTTTCCTCTTTTCATGACATAAATGAGTATATCCATGTACCACGGTTCTTCTTCTTCTTCTTATTCTTCGCCTTGGACTACTTCGTCGTCTTCTATAGCCTGGATGTATGCTGGTTTGTGCCTTTTTTCTATAGTTAGAGGCATTTTCTCGATTTCGGTGGGAATCCTAACCATTCAGGCTAATCTTGCCAAGGCATAAGCAAATTGATTTTCTTCCCTAGGTAGATATTTGTATTCTACCTTCTCTAACTGATCGGTAAGAGTTTCCAGATAGGTTTGGTAAGGGGCTAGACTTTCGCTTCTTACTTTCCACCTTTTAGATATCTGATTGATAATCAAAGAAGAGTCTCCGAATATCCTTAACTTTTGTACTCCCAATGTCAAAGTTGTTTCAAGGCTTACCACGCATGCTTCATATTCAACAGCATTGTTGGTAACGTCAAAATCAAGCTTTATGGAGATTGGAACATGCTCTTCTTTAGGTGATACTAGTCATACTTTAACGCCACATCCCTTTTGGTTTGAGGCTCCGTCGAAGTATAAGGTCCAAGTATCATCTTCAGTAACCATTAGGTCTTCGTCTGGAAATTCGTTATCTTGTATTGGTGTCAAGTCTTCTATTGGAAAATCTGCTAGAAAGTCTGACACCACGGATCCTTTGATAGCTTTTTGTGGCATGAACCTTATATCAAACTTGGCTAGATTTACTATCCATCTCGATATGCGTCCATTGAGTGTATATTTCTCATATAGATACTTGAGTGGATCTAATCGGGAGACTACGAAGACGGTATGCACTAGCATGTAATGTCTTAACTTGGTTATGGACCACACCAAGGCGAGGCACAACTTCTCGAGTGGTGAATAGCGTGCTTCGTATTCGAGCATCTTCTTGCTTAGATAGTAGATTGCATTCTCTTTGCCTTCTACTTCTTGCGCTAGCATAGCTCCCATTGTCTCTTTGGTAACCGTCAAATATAACCTAATAGGTATTCCAGGAAGTGTTGGTGCTAATACAGGAGGATTTGCGAGATAGGCTTTGATCTTTTCAAAGGATTTTTGACACTCGTTATCCCATATTACTGGTACATTCTTCTTGAGCTTTTTGAAGATTGGTTCACATATTGTCGTCAATTTTGATATGAACCTACTTATATATTGTAACCGGCCAATAAATCCTCGAATCTGTTTCTCAGTCTTGGGCGGTGGCATTGACATGATTGCTTTGATCTTGGTTGGGTCTATCTCTATTCCTCTAGAGCTTAAGACATAACCAAAAAGCTTGCCTGAGGTAACTCCAAAAGCGCACTTAAATGGATTCAACCTCATATTATATTTTCTTAGCCTTTCAAAAAATTTCCTTAAGGCTACTTGATGGCCTGGACGGTCTTTTGATTTTACAATCATGTCGTCGACATATACCTCGAGTTCTTTATGCATCATGTCATGGAGTAAGGCAGTTGCTGCATATTTGTAAGTAGCACCCGCGTTTTTCAACCCGAATGGCATTACCGTGTAGCAGTAAGTGCCCCATGGTGTTATAAAAGTTGATTTCTCCATGTCTTCTTCTGCCATGAGAATCTGGTTGTAACCTGCGTACCCATCCATGAACGAGAGGAGCGCGTGATTTGCCGTGTTATCTACCAGAATATCGATGTGTGGCAAAGGGAAGTCGTCCTTTGGACTTGCCTTATTTAGATTTCGATAGTCGACACACATTCTTACCCTTCCGTTTTTCTTCGGAACTAGGATGACATTGTCGACCCATTCGGGGTATTTGGATACCTTGATGAAACCTGCAGTTATTTGTTTTGGAACTTCTTCTTTTATTTTAAGAGCTACGTCGGGTTTCATTTGACGTAACTTTTGTTTTACGGGTTTCATTCCTGGAATTAGTGGTATAGTGTGTTGAGCTATTTCTCTATTAATGCCTGGCAAATCCTCGTATTACCAAGCAAATACATCGATAAATTCTTCAAGTAAGTTAATTAAATCGGCACTTTCTTGTTTATTCAGTGTTAATCCGATTTTAACTTTTCTTTATGGGTTAAATCATTTGAGATATCCACCGTTTCAGTTTCTTAAATACCGGTGTTTTCTTTTCGATTGTTTCCATTGCTTTA